GCCAGTTACGTGAGACTTGTCTGATTCCTTCTGTCGTGTAATCAGGCTCACTTCGCTCCCCATGAAACATTCTCACCTCGTGTTCCTCTCGCCTTGACGCCTCGAACATATTGACCTAAGCCTGGTCCTTTGCAAGCGTGTGCCGTGGACTACCTGCACAGGTGATACAGGGGGCTAGCCTCACTCCTGCTGGATCCCATAGACCACCCTGACTGCCTGCGTCGCCACGGGCTGAAGGACACGAATTGGCCAGCTGCCAGCTCCAGATGAAGTGCTCAAGTCCCGCCCTCTGCTGGTACACCGCCTCGGCGGTCCCGACCGCGTGGGAACGACATTACGGACTGCCGCCACAATATCAATAAACCTTTGTGCGTGGACTTTTTGAACTCTAGATTCCAAGGCCCGAGTTCCACAATGGGGCCCCCGATATTCCGAGTCTTTGGACTACTAGCAGCTGTCCGGTGGACACCTCAAGCGTAGTTTAGGTGGTCGCCAACGCGGCGCCCCATCGTCGCTAAGCCACAGCCTGATGTTCCACACCACCTCAAAGCTCATGTGGCAGTTGTCCCGGAGCCCCCAAAAGCACTCGGTGGCGCCCCCTGGGGATCGATCACTTGCTTACTCCCAGGTGGATCCGCCGGCCCGGCCTACAAGCACGGATCGTGATAATCTGGACGAATCGCCAAGCACTCGGCCACCTTCCTACGTACACGAAGGCGTCCATCCACTGACGACTGTTACTAGTCCTGCCGAATACAGCCAGGCCTACCCACGCGTGCACAGATGTTTTGATCACACTCTCACTTTCTACATTCTGTCGTCCACACAAACAACAAGTGCGAGTGTGGGAACAAGATGTCCTTACTTGGCCCAACTCTAATTATTGCCTAGAGTCAACTCTCAATTAATAGCAGAAGGACTTATGTAAAGCTTATATATTGTATACTCTGGCTCTTTCATCAATCAATCAATTGATACCGACCGTCATACATGAAACCCAAGTGAATATACCAGACAACGCAATCGAGAACATTTGCATCACTACAACTTTTACATAGGCCAGAGAATAAGATGGAAAAAGGTTCTCTCGACTTCCCAGAACGTTGTAGTTTATTTTATTGGTTTAAAGTGCGATATAATTTGATTCGTTTAACCACAGATAAGGCTTTGCACATGTTGAAATCCCCAATGTCCATTGCAGAAGAAAGAAGAAAAAAACCCGAGATCCATTTTCAAGTTCCATCAAATTCATGATCTCTCTTTGACCGCGCAATGTTGTTAAGTAATTATTCCTGCAAATCTTAAAACCTCCTGCTTGTAGGCTCAGACAAGACTGACAACCTATGATCTCGCTCCTGCAAACGACAAGCTTGTAGCTCGTTCTTCCCTGGCAGCGCCTGCACTCCGGAGTTTTGTGTTCAAGTATGTAGACTATTGTGTGATTCTGAGCCTCCCTGCTAAGCAGGTTGGACCCAGTGAGGATCGGATTCGCGGTAAGGAGGTCGCGAATTCGAGACCTGAATAGACCGTGATACTTTTGCACTCAAGCCTTTTACCACGTGGGGGTGCGCCATGCGGCGTCTCCCAAAGTTACTCGGCGAGTGATTTGACCATGCATAAGCCAGTCGGCGTGCAGTCACGTACCTGTGTGTGCGAGTTTATCCACCTGTAATTCCTCATTAGAAGTAGTAACTCGGATACGGTGAGTGAAGCCGAGAACTAAACATACCTGGAATTCACAAGTGGTATAGTTGTTCTCTTTCATGCCGCTGTAGCTTGGCGCCACGAGTGCATCATATGTGGACGAATAGATGCACCAGTTATCGAGGCGTCTTGAGACCAGGAGGGCTTGGTGATGCGCTGGTGTGCCATGTCTTTTCCACGAATTGAGTGCTGAGACCCCAAGGCTCGGGGTTTTGTCATATTCGTAGGAGCGAGCCCGCCCGGCTTCGGGATCTCGTGCTGCTGATATGGCATAGGGTGTGATCGATGATCCTGAGGGTGAGGAGGAATATGACGAGTCCGATTTGTCGAATAACATGAAGTAGGCTCCGAAGCTCTGGGACATGCAGTTAGTCTAGACATGGCATCTCGCAGTTGGACACTGTACTTCCGCTCGATATCAGCTCTGAGTTGCGTTAGGCTCGCCGTAGAGACTGTCAACTGTTGTGAGACCTTGTTCCACCGCATTAGCACTCTGTATGGTACCGTGTAGAAGTGTTTGATGTAGACCCAAGATGCTCGTGGCTTGTTCATCTTCGCGCCTGGGTTGCAGAGCTGGAGGTGGGTGTGGGTGCTATTTGGTGGCAGCTCCGTGCCTGTGAAAGCGTGAAAATCGTCCAAGTGCTTGTCTCGGTGAACAGGCATTCTCCAGGGCGGGCAGAAGTTTTTCTCGGCACTAGAGTTGAAGGCGGTAACAGTTGTGACAATAGCACGACCGGGGCCGGCCTGAAGTATAATGACTGGGTGGTTGGTGGCTCCTGGTTGAAGATGACCTGAAGCGATGAGGTCTCGGTGATCTTGCTTGAGGAAATATTCGTGGTTTTTGAGAAATGCGATGTCGCCGGCTTGCCAGGTGCGGTTGGCAACGCCCGCCTGGTACGAGCGATGGCGATTCATAGTGGAGAATTTGATGAGACAAGAATATAGAGTATTGGCAGTGTTGTTGTTGTGGCAGTGGTTGAGAACTCTTTTCTGTGGTTGATGTTCTGAGCGTGTGGGAGACAATGTAGGATGTGAGGTGAGGACCATGAGGTGGTAGAGAAGAGAGAGAAAAGGGGGGGACCAAGAATTCCCTGTGGCAGGGCGCGAACTTTTATTCACTCTGTCCATCAATGTTCTCGATCATAGAGTCATAATTTTCTAGACTAATAGGTGCTATTTACTTGCGATGTAAACTACCTAGGTGGAAACGTAGAGCACTAGGTACGTTAGTCTTTTCATTTCTTGACCCCCTGACCCATCCAGTGAGAACCTGTGTGTGCTCACTACGCAAGAGCCAGTCGCGTCTGAGTTGAGCTAATGAAGGTTGCTGAGACGGACTATGCACTGCTAGCAGCATGGACTACTCGGCCAAAAGACCAGAATTTCCAATCTCCAATTGGAATTCCTTAGCAGCTCCGTACCGCCACAGTCGCTGCATGTTCAAAATTTCCCAAGTCTTTCAATTTGTGAAGCACAATTCTTGGAATCATTATACATACGCTTGGGCCTTATCTACGTATAAGGGCGTTTTAGTATTTACATAAAAGATATTCAGAGGCTTTGAATAGTCTGGATACTCCCGATCTATACAATTTTATAGAGAGTGTTGGGTGTGTATAGAAGAACACTTACAGTATTCATGCAGATTATTGAAAAATAATCTTTCACGAGCCGCAATTTGCTGTTGAAGGAAACATGAGATTTCAAGGACAAGGACGGCAACGCGGAGAATGGCTGAAGCCCACATCTTTACCGCGCTCATTTTCTCTGCTGCGCCTGACCCACCCTCCATCATGCCCCTGATTTATGCTGAGCAAGGACAATACCCGGCCAAAATGACTACAGCGTCTGGGAGAGGATCTGCCTTGCCCCAGAGAGCAAGAATCACAACTTACTGCCTGACCTGATCACATTTGTGTAGCTTCCAATGGGCCATACTCTCTACGGTAAAATGAGAAGCCAGTGCTTGCTCGACAGTTCAATCTTTCTATGTTGTATAAGTCGACGGCGCCAAACCTTGCTTTTAAATGATTGGTCTCTCTCTCGTCCGCCGGTCCGTACACACTGTCTGCCAAAGTGATCAACAGCCAACGTCCGAGAGGGACCAGACTTTATGGTCCGCAGTATAATTGATATTGATATCGATATCGACAGGACTGGTGAGAGGGCCATACTGGTCCGTCACAGCTTGTATAAGGACTTTTTGGCTTCAGAACGTGACGGACATCCAAGGGTGACATTGCGTGCTTGTGACTGTACTTAGCAGGTAGGTACTTGGCACATAGGATGAAACCGAGGCCCTCACTGCAACTCGCCTGTCACTCTGTAGCCTCCCAAGTTTCAGATGGTATTCCATCTCCCAGTGTACTATCTACAAGATCTGCAAAGCCCAAACCTGACTCGGGCTTAAGCGATGTCCTCCCGGGGGCGAGAATCGCGGAGGAGGATATCACGGAGTAATTTGTTTCAGAAGAGATCGGCCCATCAAGTATTCTAACGTTACACTAGTAGCCGTGATTCAACAGGAAACAAGGCTATAGATGGAACATCCACAGCAGGCAGCTGGTCATCCCATAAGATGTTGTCCCACAGGAGGGCGTCCCACAGGAGGGCGTCCCACAGGAGGATGTCCCACGGGAGGATGTCCCATAGGAGACAACTCCACGGGAGGTTGGCCGGTAGGAGGTTATCCTATAAGAGGCTATCCTATGAAATGTCATTTTTACTTGAAGCTACCTTAAAGTATATCCTATTTGGTTTTCCTTATATAAGGCCTGTCTTTGGGGGGTTATACTACAAGAGATTGTGCCTTGGATGTATTCTCAAATCTTATTGCTGTACAGTTATGCAGGCTACCTACCTATGTATGCTATTTGGCGTGCGGAGTTGGCCATCCATCCCGACAGCCGGGTTTGATGCGGAGCATACCTGGGTACGTACCTGTGAACATTCCTTCTTCAAACATGTCAATGCAACAGTGTAGACAGACCCTCAAGCTGAACTCTGTGGGAACAAGTACGTTTAACTAAAGAAGACTACAGATCTGGAAACTTTGTTTAAGTGGTGCAGTATGTTTGTCGTTGGTGGTAGTTATGTCTCTAGACATCATGTCCAATCGCTCTGAAAAGGGTTCTCTTGTCTACCCACCACCTCTCCCGTACTCTAATATCCACACAGCTCCGATTAGCAGATAAGGCCCAACAATATCCATGCCGCTCGGCTCCGCCGGCAAATTTTGCAAGAAACTTGTGTCAGGATCATGAGTCGAGAGATTTTACAAAATTCCATCTCTATCCGGCCGTGTGGCCTAATGGCTAAGGCGTCAGATTTCGGTTGAAATCATCCTCTCTGAAGATTGCGCGTTCGACTCGCGTCATGGTCGCATTGTTTTGTTCTTATTTTGAATCTCTTTTGACTGCTGAAAGTGCCTAGATATGTTGTGGTGATTATAGCATGGTGGTGTGTGGTACTTCGGTAATAGTCCATATTTGATATCTGTGTATAAACTTTTACCGCAGATGTAAGAGCATTGTGTTATTGACTGTATCTTAAGATCTGTCTCGTTGAGGTGTGCTGCATATGTTCTTGTCTCGAGCATACACAATGTATTAAGAATGGCCTAGCATTCATCTATTTAATGCTAAGCATGACACACTGACAACATGGACTTATACCGGCAAGGGAGTACTTGTGCCCCGAGCAGTCTGCTCAGCCCTCTCTCTATCAGACTGATGAGACTGAAGCGTTTTTTCTTGTCTGTTGGGCACTGGCTGCATATATCAATACGAGCTCCTGTAGAAGACAACTAGTTGCAGGAAACCCACTCGGATAGCAGAAGATAGCAGACCTGATCTGGTGTTTGGAGTGCCTATGTAAGCTTCTGAAAACGACTGCCAATTCCCCTAAATTGAGATATAAGAGCACAGCACCGGCACGGTATTACAAGACAAATGGGATTGTTATCAGATGGATTGTTGTCTCATGTCGTGGCCGTTGTGTGGAGCAGAGAATGTGACTTGAGTTTCCCCCGAAGCCGCAGGTCTGCCCTTGGAAGTTTAATTGCTGGGCCAGTAACACGTGCAGTCGCGTCTTGGTGTGCGCGTCGACAGGGATCCAGCTCGTCTCACATTCTCGAGCTTGACCCTCGACGTAATCGATACTCAACCGAATCTGCAACACCTTGATCTTGACTTTCCCAACGTACAATCAATGACTCTGATTTGAAGCCGCAATGCCTCCACGAACATCACCGAGGAAGAAGGCAACCGCCACAGCCGTCAAAGTCGAAAAGGAAGTCGCCCAGAAAGTCAATGGTGCAGCAGCGAAGGTGAAGGCCAAGGCCACCAAGACCAAAGCTGAGGCTGTCACCCCGAAGAAGAAGGCCGCAGGCAAGAAGCGCAAGGCAGCTGACGACACCGAAGGCGAGGATCACGAGTGCGACAGTCACAATGAGGCAGAACCAGACGAGAAAGAGAAGCCTGCGCCCAAGAAGCGCAAGACCAAGAAGGACAAAGAGGCAGAGGCCATGCCGCTCGCCCAGAGGACAGCCGTCAGCTCCCTGAAGCGAGCAATGTACATCGGTGCGCATGTCAGTGGCGCAGGAGGTGAGTATCACATGTTCCTGGTGCATAATCCCCTGTTGGATGCTCACATACTAACATAACCCCCGTTCCAAAGGCTGCCAAAACTCCATCCAAAACGCCGCCCACATCGGTGCCAACTCATTCGCCCTCTTCCTCAAGTCCCAGCGGAAATGGGCCTCCCCAGCCCTCAAGGACGAGGACCGCGACGCCTTCCACGCCGCAGCAAAGGAGCACAAGTACGACCAAGGCGCGCACGTCCTCCCGCACGGCTCCTACCTGGTCAACCTCGCGCAGGCGGACAAGGCCAAGGCGGACCAGGCCTACGACAACTTCGTTGACGACCTGAAGCGGTGCGACGCGCTAGGTATCAAACTCTACAACTTCCACCCGGGCTCGACGGGCGGCGAGACCATGGCCTCTGCGTGCGGGCGCATCGCGGCGCAGCTGAACCGGGCGCACGGCGCCACCGACAAGGTCGTAACCGTCCTGGAGAACATGTGCGGGCACGGCAACGTCATCGGCGGGCGGCTCGAGGACCTGGCGGGCATCATCGCGGGCGTGGACGACAAGTCCCGCGTGGGCGTGTGCATCGACACGTGCCACGCCTTCGCGGCGGGATATGACCTGCGCACACCCGAGACTTTCGAGAAGGTCATGGCCGAGTTCGACCGCGTCGTCGGGCTCAAGTACCTGAGGGCGCTGCACCTGAACGACAGCAAGGCACCCTTTGGATCGCACCGCGACCTGCACGCCAACATCGGCACCGGGTTTTTGGGTTTGCGCGCCTTCCACAACGTCATGAACTACGAGGGGTTCCAGAACCTGCCCATGGTGCTGGAGACGCCCATCGACAGGAAGGGCGAGGACGGCAAGACGGTCGAGGACAAGCAGGTCTGGGCCGACGAGATCAAGCTGCTGGAGTGGCTGATCGGCGCGGACCCGGAGAGCGACGAGTTCAAGGAGAAGGAGCGGGAGCTTTCTGCCAAGGGCGAGGGCGAGAGGAAGAAAATCCAGGATCAGGTCGATAAGAAGGTCGCCAAGGATGGCAAGAAGGGTACCAAGAAGAAGGGAAAGAAGGCCTCTTCGGACGACGAGGACAGCGAGTAAGTGTATCTGTTTCTTGCTCTGAGATTCATTTTGGGACGGGCATTGGCGTTGAGTCGGGAAAGACAAATCAGTTGTAACGACTTGTACGTATGACAATGATTTTGATATGACAGTCAAACTTTGTATGGTCGCTAGGAAAGGGTATAATTGCGTGTGTTGACACTGCGCGACAGGGACAATGAGAACCAACAAAACTTCATGAAGACCTGGATGAAGAAAACAAAATGAAAATCCAATCCAAGTGCCGCTGACGCCATGTAAACTCCTTATGCCAAAGTCGTGATCCTCATGCTCATCCGCATGTCCATCACACCCTCCTAGCCTTAGCAACAGCCTCTACCCGGCCAAGCAACGACCTCAGGCCCGCGCCCCTCTCGCAGTTTCCCTCCAGCCACGCCTCCATGCGCTCCCTCACAGCCCCCATGCCCCTCAGCAGCGGCATCCGCCCGCCTTCTTCGTCCACCACGTGCCCGCCCGGATTGAGCAACATCTCGAAGCACTCGCCCCAGATCTCTGTCTGCCAGTACCTTTTGAGGCCCTCCCGGATCCTGTACCTGCGGCCGGCCTGCGTCCCCAGCCCGCCGGCGTCGCACCGGATGGTCTCGATGTACTTGCCAAACAGGAGGCAGTGGATGATTCCGGCCAGGCCGTGGTAGTCGATCTGCCACGTCCACGGGCGGCCCTCGCGCATCTCGGCGCAGTCCTGTGCCGTCGTCTTCCAGTCCGCGACGAACTGCACCTCGGGCACGAACGCGCGCATGTCGATGCCACGCCCAAAGTCGATCAACGTCACGCCGCGGGAGCCCCATCCGCCTGCGCCGTCCGCTCGCCACTGCGCGCTCAGGGCCTCGCCGCCCAGGCGGAGGAGGCAGTTGTCGGCCTTCAGGTCGCCGTGGAGGATCTGCCTCGAGTGCAGAGCCTCGACGGCACGGAGCAGCTCGATGGTAAAGAACATGGCGAGGCTCTCGTCCATCACACCTGAGGACTCCGCGCGGAAAATGTTGACCACGTCAAGGAGCGTGCCGTGAGGGTGGAACGGGAGCAGAAGGAAACCCTCATCCTGGTAGAGGTGCATCTCGAGAGCGCAGGAGAGGGAAGCTGTTGCGCGGTCCTGTGGTCCGAGTCGGCCGTGGGCCAGGCGCATCATGTGGAACTCCCAAGCGTTTGGAGGGGTCTCCATCTTGAGTGCCTCTAGGCGCCTGCGTTGGTTATGTGCGAGTGAGAAGGCCCCCTTACCCATGGCCACCGGCGCCTCCTCGTCTTCTACCTCCTCAGGTGAGGAGTTCTCGACTAGGTATACCGGCGCAAAAGCGCCAGCACCTAGTTCCTTCTTGAGCGTGTAATCGGTCTCGATTCCGGGGAACCGTATGACAGGTGAGGCACCAAGGTTGGCTGTCCTGTCCGTACTGTTCCTGCTGCTTCTGCATGCTTTGATAAATCTGCGGATCTCGCCTCCTCTCCCGTAATTTTCGGACCGGTGGTCATAAAACCCAGGTGAAGAACTCAGGGGCGGTTGTGTTTCCTCAAGGATTTTGTGGCGAATGTCATCGTCTACAGGGTTGCACTGTGCTTCCCTGATAATGGGACCTTTTGCGGGTGCTGCCCTCGAGTCCGCCTCCGGCGCCAGGCCTGGTCTTGACTTTGGAAGCAGGGGCAATGAAATGTGTTTCACAGGGGAGAAGTCCTCGTGGGTCACTTCCTCCAGGGGGCTGCTAGGCTCATAATCCTCAACCCCTCGCGGCGAGGCGCCATACTTCCTACTAGGAGTCTTGTTGGTACCATAACGGTCATGGTCTTCGGCATCAACCTTTAGCGAAGATTCGGTCTTCTCCGTGATGGGCGTCATAAAGGGGAGACGATTATTAGCCATCTCAGACGGGTCCCTATATGTTCGCGTCACGGCGACATAGTCCTCCGGAGGCAGTGGGACGAAGGTTGTCCGCGTCCTAGGCGGTGACATGTCATCGTACATTGGAGTGTCGACGTCGTCCTCGTCATCGTCATTGAATTCCGGCGCAGTGATGGTATGCTCGGTGAATGCTAAAGATGGGTCTGCATCTCGAATGTTGATCAAGTCGGACACGACAGACCGATCGTCGTCGTCTTCGTCGTCTTCCCGGTCGATACTAGGGATGTGGCGTCCCGCGGAGAAGTCAGACCACCCACTGACACTTTTGACATCCGATGTCTCGTCGTCTCGAGCTGCTTGGTCATCTTCAGTATCGCCCGCCTCACTTGTCGTGATCTGTCGAGTCGTGCAGGTGCTTTCTCCGACGCTTGCGGTATAATTGCTGTCTGTCTCGTATTCTTCGTCATCTGCATTCTCATCTGCCTCATCAGACGCACGCTTTAGAGGGGCGTTGAATATGTCATAGATGTCGTCTGTGGCAGCCCTGGTGTGCATGGTCATCGTGGGCTCGGATGTATGTTTTTTCTTCAAAGTCTTGGGGCCAGTGGGCGAGTCCAGCTTCGCTTTGACTGCTAGGAGTTAGCTGATAACATCTTCGTGCGCTGAGATGTCCACATACTGATTTGAGTCTCATTGACCTCTGCCATTTTCTTCTTCCTCCCTGCGCGGTGTTGATCTGGGAGACGGCCATTCTCATCCAATGTGACAATGTCCTGACGAGCAGGCATCTTTGATGCCTCCTTTTGCGGCGGAGTTGGCGCGCTGCCCTTGACGCTTTTTGAA